TGTACAAATGCGCTTTACACAATTGATGTGTGTATGGATTGGGATAACAGTTGTATGAGCCCCTAATAAAATGTTAAAAAAGAGAAAAGAAAAAAATTAGCTCCTAAAATAAAATAAAAAAATTAAAAAAAAAAAAAAAAAAAGAATCCCCGAGGCTTGAAATTTTTCTTCAGTTCTCTCAGCGTGAGAAATGCCAAGTGTGCGCTTTCCCCGTGATTTTCAAATCTTTGCACATTTCATGGTACTGCACTGTTTCCGAACGACCCCCTTATTGCACCACTTATTACTGCTCTCTTCTTCCTGCACCACTGCTCTCACTCGCTTTACTTACTCTGTGTTCAAGGGCAAATCTCCAAGTCTCTTCTGACAACCATATTTTGCTTTCTCTTTCCTGTCCTTTAAATGACCTTTTGCTTTCTTTATGAACCACATCCTTGATAGCATCGTATAACGCATCTGATGTTTAGAACGTGAAATCTATTCTTGAGATGGTTTCTAAATTCAGATAGGGTATACTCATCTTCTGTGAAGCGGTTTTAATTTCCTTTCTGCTTCAACTTTATTTATTTATTTTCCTGCTTTAACTTTAATTTGAATATAAGAAACCGATGGTTTCTTCAACACTCAGTCCCTGACTTGTTCTGACGGATGGCATTAGCTTCTCCATCATGTCTTTCCAGAGATGTAATAGTTGTGATTCCTATGTATTCTATCCAGGGATATACACACATAGGTGCACAGTCACACTTCTGTTTTTGAAAAAAAAAAAAAGGTATTGCAATGAATACGTTTTTTGGCCTTACAGAATCTCTCTGTCGTTTGTATCATCAACACCGTAATTCCAACTACCGATCCTTTTAGTTTCCAATTTTTGCATTTCTATCACCAGTAACTATCATTACATCTCAATTGAATGCTTGATTCAGTTCAGACTGCAGAAGTACATGGAATTCTTCAATTTCTTCAGTTTGTCACTCTGGACACAGCCCACATTATGAATAACTGACTCAGAATGGCCAACATCAGTCTATTTCAGCTCACCAGTATCATTCGTTCCCAATCAATTTTTACAACTTCCAATTTTCTGATGCTTTCTGCTGTTTCTTTCCATTTTGAATGGTGCCACACAAGCACACGAAGGTCCTGAAAGCTTTACCCCCGCTCCCCAAATCAGGGTCAACGTCTCTCTGAGGAGACAGTTGTTCCTCAGTGGTACTTTGCTTGCCTTTCGACCTGGGGGGCTCATTGATAGTACACCCAACAATACTCTGCTGCTCTCGACAAGGTAGCCAATGGTCACATTTCTCAGAAGCAGATCATCAGGACCTTCTTCCCAGCCTTCGTCTGGAAATTCCCAAGCTGGTCTGTCACAGGTAAGCCTGCTAGTATTGAAAATGCTGGTGGCAATGCTTCCAGCATCAGAGCAACACGTAAGCCACCAGTGTGGGGCAAACTGACAGGCATGTGGTAGGGGTACAGAAATGTGACTCATTTAAATGAACTGAAATGAAAGATCAATTCATGTGCTCAGCAGCCACATGTGGCTAGCCACTAGTCTGCTGGGCTATTTTCATCTGCTGGGCAGTGCTGCTCTAGGATGCGCAGGATTCCTGCAGGGGTGCATGGTGGGAGCCATGGAAGGCTCATACCAGTACTTCATGGGGGCTAGAGAAAAACAAGAAAGCAGGCAAATCCAGCAAGCCTCCAGTCTGTGTGCTGGGCTGTTGCAGACTTACCATGGTCACTATACCGCCTCTGCTTCTGGCTTGAGGAGATGCTTCTCTGCACCTTGTGGTGAGGAGACTGGCCAGTGCTATTGTTGAGATCACTGCTTGGCCTGACCTTTGCAAGTGAGAGATTGCTGCTAGAACTGGAATCACTAGCATCCAGCTAAGAGAAAACAGAGAAACAGAGGAAAACACAATACACACCTAACGGTTCGTTAACACAATAAACTCGACACCTCTCCCAACACAGTTCATTTAGAGGGCAGACTTGCCGTGCCCCGATGCCACCACGCGCAGGGACACACTCGGTGGCACGCTCAAGAGGAAGTGCACAGCGACTTTCCTTGGCACGTTCTCAAAGCACTTCACTCGCTCACTCAAACATTCATGTTATGAACTGACTCATGGGTGCCAAGTATGTGACATACCCAACAGGAAGGCTTACTATCATCTTTAAGTTAAGACAGTTACTCTAAGATAGTCACTGCAGTAATGGCCATAGGAGTTCAATTTGCAGTTTCCAGGTAAATTTAAGAATGGTAACAAAAATGCTACAAAAACTGAAAAAAAGAGAAAAAACACCCACACAACTAAGGCAAGCGTATAGAAACAGAGTTGACGAAGAATGCTGTTGTTTCCTATTAATGATTCTTACCTCTGAAGATTTTCTCCCCAACAACAAATATGTAGCTGTGATCTCATCATATTTCATTTTACTAAGTGATTCTTGAATTTCTTCTTGTGAATATCCCATTCCTATCATAATATCTAAGAAGAAGGGTAAAAGACAGTTTGTGGGGGAAACCTGCAAATAACTTGTTAAATTTCTAACAGAAATCCATAGTTCACTTGCTGCTGAGTTACAGGATGTTTACAGAAAACTGCAGGTAAGTTCCTCAATGTGACCAAACTGACAGGCGGATTCATTACCTTGCACTTTCCTCTCACTGTTCCCACTCTAAGCATATTCACAAGAACCTCAATGGAAGTGTGACAGGTGCACATGTGCCCATGTACGTGTACGCCTGGGGGCAGATAAATTACCTATTCTCTTCTGGTCCGAGATGTCGAGTTCTGGTTCAATGAATGGTTTCAGTTCATCCTCCTCATGTCCTGCATTGATCCACCTATCCTTCATGATTTGCTGGAAAGGTGAACTGTTTGTTAGCAGTATAAGGTAAATACATGTGTCATCACAATATTTAGAAATACTTATTTTCAACATTTCATCGATTATAGTTCAAAGAGGAATGTAAAAAAACTTATTTTCATGGATCAATGGCTGTTTAAGAACCATAATTAAAAAGCCCCTGGGCTGCCCCCCACACCGAGTTCTGAAAGCATCTCAAAGCCCCGTTGACTCTGTGTGCACATGTGATTACCTCTAGAGTGCCTCGTTTGATTGGATTTAGCACCAGGAAACGCTTGAGGAGGTTTTCACAGTCCGTGGACATGTAGAAAGGGATTCTGTACTTCCCTCTCAGGACTCTCTCTCTCAGTTCCTTTGGGAGGCAGGGAGGAAAGAAACGAGTGAGGGGCAGTTAGGTGAACACTGGACCTGACTCCGCCCCGCTACAGCTGGAACACCTTGTTCCAGCTTTGAAGAGCGCAGATGCAAGGCCTCCTGTACCTTTAGGTTCTGCCCGTCGAAAGGAAGTGAGCCGCTGACTAGCGTGTAGAGAATGACGCCCAGGCTCCACACGTCCACCTCAGGCCCGTCGTATTTCTTGCCCTGGAAGAGCTCTGGGGCCGCATACGGAGGACTGCCACAGAAGGTGTCCAGTTTACTGCCAACAGCAAATTCATTGCTAAAACCAAAGTCTGCTATTTTAATGTTCATGTCAGCATCTAACAATAGATTTTCAGCCTAGAGGGAAAACATCAAGACAAAATAAAATTTAACCAAAATATACTTGGAACTGTGATAGAATTAGGCATTTCATAAAAGCTTTTCATACTGCTATAACATTAATATAGCCTAATGAATAAAATGAGAAAACGTTCTTCCTGGGGAAGATAAAACCCAGGAGATAAAATGAGTTATAGCATGGCTTTAAACATCAAATGGTCCATATTCAAGAAAATGTTGGCTTTTTCAATTAATAATAACAGATGCCATTAAAAAACAGGTACTCAATTCCATGTGGAGAGCTATGTTTCATGAAGACAGCCACGTAAGCTGTAAAGTGGCTGTTACTGTGGAGGGGAATCAGAGACACCTTTGAGATATAAACCAGCCATTTCCATTGATTACATCGAGGGTTTACCATATGGCTGCTGCATCTCAGTAGCTGCGCTGATGTCTGGATATAAAAGAGTGACGCAGCAGGAAGGAGCCTCCCTTCAGAGAGCTCCCAGCTTAGGAGAGACAGAAAAGTAGGCAGCCAAGAAGCAGACATCTAGAGGGAATGAGTCCCTGGGACTGGGCAAGTGGCCTAGCAAGTTCTAATTCTAGTTTGGTGAGTAGTGGCTGGAGTCTTAAAAGCTTTTAAATAACCACCTAAGACACAGCTATAATTCTCTTGCCATGGGGCACAATGAGTGAAGAAAACGAGAGACAGATGACATGGACCACGATCCTCCACCGAGGGGTGCCTGGCTATCTCTACCTTCCACTCTGTGGATGAGCGGGAAACAAATGTAGAACAAAACTCAAGATCATAAAGAGGCTTGCTGGTCTGACGGAGATTGGTGGCACCGAGACTCTGGCCCTTAGACATCCTGCAATCCAAGAATGGACAAGTCTACAAGGTGAGAGGTGGCCAGCCTTGAAACCATTAGCCACAGGCAAGCACCAGGACAGCCTGGCTCCCCCGGGACAATGGAAATAGAAACACAGGAGCCAGCTGTTACGTGGTGGGGACTGTACCCAATGCCCGATGCACAGTGTGTAGGAAACGGTGAATGGAAAACCAATGTGTACATAAACTTTTCCCAGATGACGCTAACAATGCAATGGAAATGCAGCCACACTGACATGTGTTGGAACAGTGGTGTTGGAATATTGGGCGTAGGGAGCCGTGCAACCAGCATTGGGGGTTCTGGAGAGCTTCTGAGAAGAGGGTAAATGTAAGCTCCAGCTGGAAGGACCAGCAGGTTAGTCGATGGGTGTGGGAGTGCTGAAGGAAGGGTATTTCAGCAAGAAACAACAGTCTGAATATCCAGAGATGAGAGAATGGTTCACTCAGCACAAGAGGCCACTGGGCAGTGGTCGCCAGGAAAGTTTAGATAGCTACTGGATCAGGATTTGAGCTGACACCGGTTGGTCGCACCTGTGTTTTTTGACATGGCATGGAGAAAGCACGGGAGGAAGAGGAGTGCTGGGCACCCCTGGGAGACGGGCAAGAAACAACCGTAGGAGCCAAGTAAGGTGGTGACAGTGGTCTCGGTCAGCACAGTGCCAATGGGGAGGGACAACAGTGAGCTTGAGGAACACTTGGGGAAAGGCAGCAGGAATTAGTGACAGGAAAGCTCAGGGAGGGGAAGAGAACCTGGAGGGAGGGGCTTGCTGAGGGTGGGTAGGCACCCTTTCCCCTGTGGGAGCTGGGTCCTTCCAGGGCTCTAGGCTGCAGGGTGGGTTTGGGAGTCACTCACAGATGAGTGGTCCTGAAGCTACCAGAGGGTGGGTGTGGAGGTTAATGGGCACCAAGCCCCAGTGTCACAACAATGCTTAGAGACATGTGGCTGTGAAAAGGTATAGTAGTGGAGTGGGCCTGGGAAACGAGCTGGAGCAGGGCAGATGGGTCAGGACTGCTGTGAGAAGTTGGCAGGACAGGGTAGAATGAAGACAAGGAGTCACCGAGGGGCTGCAGGCCTGAGAAGATGGGCGGGGGCGCTGGTGGAGATGTGCCATAGAGGCCCAGGCTGCTGGGAGACAAAAGGAGTTTCTGCTTGGAACATCTCCATGCCCCGGGAAGTCAGAGAGCCCGTTACATGCTGAGTGAGGGTGCTGGTGGAGGGCCAGGAAGGTCTCAAGTCAACACTTCAAACAGGCGAGGGTGATGCTTAGGGGAGACCAGGTGCTGTGGAGGCTTTCCTGCTACCCATCTATAACTCCTCCTGGAAGCAAACCAGTTTGCTCTCACTGAAGGATGCAGCCAAGCTGGGCCTGCGGGCTACTCACCTTGAGGTCTCTGTGGACGATGCGCTTCTGGTGGCAGTACTGCACCGCAGACACGATCTGGACAGGAACGGGCGAGGAGGACAGTTAGCGTCGGCCAGACTCAGGCTTGGACCCACACATGCACAGCAACATTCACACACACCCCAGACCCAGAGAGCTCACAGGGGAGTGTATACGGAGCTTGAAGAACCACTGTTGTAGACTCTGATCTTCTCAGTTCAGAGGGAGGTGCTCCTCCGGTTTGACTACCCCTCACCACCCTGAGGTTCTGCAGGGCTGGGGGGGCTCTCCATGCCCAGAGGAGCAATGGAGAGCACCAGGCCACCCGGGCGCCACTTCTCCAGGCTGCCTTTCCTCTCACCACTTCCCTTTGCTGGCAGTTTGGTGCTCGGGGCAGGGTCCTCTTCCTTAGAATGAAGCATAGTGAGCAGAGCTTCAAACTGGTTCTTCCCAGTTCAGACATGGGTGACAAAGGGGAACTGGAACAGACCCTACTTTATTAAATGTGGATGCACCGAATGGGAGAGACTACAGATGGACTCCCTGCGAGGAAATGTTTCCCACTTAGAAAACAAGGGCTGCTTGCATGTTGCATACAATCAAATCTCCTTAGAGCCAGGAACAACAGCTCCCATTCAAAGACAGCAGTCAACGGTATCACTCTGTGTGTGTGGCACTCTCCAAAGTCCTGGCAATAATCCAGGTTAGGCACTGAGCTCCAGAAGAGGCTCACTGCAGCTCTTCCAAGCCTCCCATTCCCGAGCTTCAACGGGAAATGCTCCCCACTCTGACTACTGCTCCAATTAAATTGTCAGTCCTTACTGAATTGCTTCAAAAACTGGCAGCAGTGTGCCTTGAAATGTTAGCTCTGAACTGCTCCCAGTGGCTCTGGCTCCCCCATGGGTTTCTGAGACGGTAGCTGTTCACAGGAATCATGGCAGCCCAATGCAGAACCACGACGCCACCAGGGCTCCTCACGCCCATGGCTAGCAACATTAACAATGGTTCTACTAAGTTTCATATTAATGACTAACTTACTATTAACTAACTACTATTTACTTAGTAAGCTTGTTTTTCTAATTTAAAAAGTTTTTAATGCTCATTATAAAAATCTTAGGAAATAAACAGGGGTTATAATGAAAACAGTTTGGTTTTCCAAATCACTGTTGACCTTTAATGAAAACCAGCTGCACAACTGCTGGACATAAAAATCACAGACGCCGGTGGTTCAAAATAAGCAGCAAGATGATGAGATGATGCCAAGGTCAAAAAGTCATCAAAAACCTTCATTACTTTATATAAAAATATCCAGAATACCTGACCAACTCACTATTAACTAAAGGTAGTAAAACGTCCATGTGTCAAAAGATGGTTTTTAAAGCACCAGCTACTTTGGATGATTATTTTTTTAGCCAATGTTTTCTATATGTAAGCAAACAAAGGGAAGTTAGGTTGTTGGCTTAAATTACGTATCTCACTGCTTGGTCCAGCTCTCTTTTTCCCCACTTCCTGTATGGTTTTTCTCCCTATTCTACAACATCTCAAAGCTAACCTGACACCACACTAACCAGAAAATAAACAGCTTTAGCTTGTGGCTAGTTTGGACCAGCTTCTCAGCCACAGCAGTTGTTCCTAAGGAGCGCTGAGAGCACTGGTGCTTTCTGTGTAAACACTGTGTGTCGCCTGTCACACATGGGGCAAATGGAGGCCACAACACTGCCTCACGAGCAGACAATGGAGACCGGAGTCCATCCCTTTCCTCCAAAGAGAAGGGGGGCAGAGCGGCCTTTGTGTGCGCGAGGCTGTAAATCTGTAGAAGCATACACCATGCCCTCCTCCTTTGGAGCGGTTGGTGGGTTTGAACTGCTGCACTTTCGGCGCTGCCACACTCTAGGGTCCCTTGTTTTAAATGCAGTCATAATCAATAAAGACATGAGCTAACCTATGCACTCAAAACTTGCTTTTATGAAAACAGGTACCATATATACTCGTGTATAAGCCAAGTTTTCCAGCACATTTTTAATGTAGTTCTTTGGGTAAAATTAGGTGCTCAGCTGATATTCGGATTAGCTTATACTCGAGTATGTACTTGGTATCTCTAAATCACTAACAGATACAGTTCTATCTGATTTGGTTTCTGTAAGACAAAATGAGTAAGGAATGTTGGGACTGTAACTCTTCTTGGTAAAAATTGTGGGGGGAAAAGTTTTCAGTGGTTTAAATGAACATAACCATGAGTGTTTTGAACGAGTCTAGCTTTTTTTTCAAGGCTCAACTATCAGAACTGTGTGAGAGGTCTGTTCCAACCACCAGGTGAGGCCGCCTGTGGCACAGGAAGTGCTCAACCCATTTCTGTTGAACTGAATAGACAAGCCCCGCTTGCCCAACAGACCTCAGGGCATTAACGGGGCAAGTAGGGGTTTGTCGGGCGGGCACCTAACTTCATTCCAGTCAAACACAAAAGGAAGACTATTCGTACCTGTCGAAACTTCGCTCTTGCTTCTTTTTCTTTCATTCTTCCATGTGCAACCAGGTAGTCAAACACCTCACCTGCCATTGGGAGAAAGCATAGTGAGCTCACGCCTCGAGACGGACACCTGTCCACAAAGGGACAGCGCCTGGCTTCTGGCCATGGTCTAACATCCATTTAGGCAGTGCGTGTGTGAGGACAGCCAGAAAAAGGTAGACTCCAAACGCAGCTGGCCGTGTGCTTACTGTTAATGAGATCTATACGTAAAAGCCTCAACATTTAATATGCTTAAATTCTCCACCTTTTCCTTAAGGAATATGTATTTTCCCTCTGCTTGAACAATGAAAGCAGAGCCGAGCCTGGTCAGCTGTATGTGTCACAGGACAGAGAACCCCTTCCTGAACCTGCTTTCATCCAACAAGTGTTTTATTGCTAGGCCCAGGGAAACGTGGCACTAATGCTGCCGTTCCAGTGGGGATGGAAAACAAGTGCATACAGCCTATCGGCGAGTAAGTGCTACGAATCACAGGGAGTGCACAGGCCCAGTGTTGACAGGGGAGCGTTACTGGGGAAGAGTGCATGCAGAGAGCAGCCAGGGGGCCGTGTGGTGGGAAGACAGGGCATTCTGAGGAGTCAGCCTAGAGGCGAGGCGTGCAGGCTACAGCCTGGTAAGGGGGTGCTGGGGAGACAATGGCATCATGCTGGCAGGCCGACCGTGGTACGGGGTGGGGTTGAGGGTAGGGGGTTCAGGATATAGTCTGAATGGAAGAGCTTAACCCCAGAGTCGACAAGTTGATTCTGCCTCACGGTGAACCTACTGGGTGGAGAACTGCCCTATGGGGTGCACAGCTTTAACAATCTTTCCGTGTACAGATGGCCACCACATGCCTCCCTTGTGGAGCCCTCTCTTGTGGCCTTTGAATGGCCAGTCTTTTGCTTAGCAGCTGAGTGCTTAACCACTGCACCACCGACACTGAGGTGGCAGCTCACATGCTGGTAATGTCCAGGGGACTTGGTGATCACTGAAGGTCACAAGCTCTTCCAACTACTTGTCAAGTAGAGCAATGAAACACCAATGCTGACACCAATCAATAGCGGATTAATGTAGAAAATTAATCTTTTTAAAATGTGTTTTTGGGGAAGAAGCAGGCCTATTTCACACTGAAATGACACATACCCATCAGCTTAGTGACTACACTGAACCAAAGTATGGGATGGTTAAAAAGTCTCCCAGTGGTAGCTTACCCAGGGGCAGTTAGGAAAACATCTCAGACATGCCAACCACTGCGAGGGGATGAGTCATTGGGCCTGGGGCTCAGAACCACAGTCTCCAAGCACCAAGGCACATGGCTTCAGGTCATCCACAAAGACAGTGTTCTACACCAACGCCACTTCGGTGAGTAGTGACTGGGAACTTGTAAGTTTGTGAGCAGCCGTGCCAGGTGCAACTATTATCTCTTCCCACCAGAAGAAGGAAGAGTGGTGAAATGCTAACGACACCGGCACAGTGAGTGCAATGAACTAATGCTGTTGGTAAGTGCTGCTGAGTTGGCTCCGACTAACAGTGACCCGATGTACAACTGAATGAAGCACTGTCCGGTCCTGCAACATTCTCACAATTGCTCCAATGCTTGAGCCCATTGCTGCAGCCACAGTGTCAGTCCATCACCTTGAGGGCCTTCCCCTCCTTTGCTGCCCCTCTGTTTTACCAGGCATGGTGACCTTTCTCCAGGGACTGGTCTCTCCTGACAACTTGTTAAAAGTATGCTAGACAAAGTCTCAAGACCATTGCTTCTAAGGAGTATTCTGGCTGTACTTCTTCCAAAACAGATCTGCTTGTTCTCTTGGCAGTCCAGGTGCTGCACCACCATTCAAGATTTGAATTATATGCACGAACCAATGGGACCAGACAAACATCAGTCTCTACAACCCTGAGACTGAAGGGCCAGTTGGCACCCGGCTACCATGACCAACAGCTCTGAAATGGGCAGGCTGGGAGAAATCCGTCAAACAAAACCCCAAATCCTAAGAGACCAGGGTTATTGGTTGGACAGGGGACTGGTGGGACCCAGGTCTGGAACTGAACTTAGCCCTGTGTTAGAACAGAATAATCAACCACGGACCCTCAAAAGTGCAGCATTTACCCGCAGGCAAAGTTTAGAGGGTTCTAGCAGAAGGAGAAATGGCAACAGGAAGCCCAGAAGGAAGTGGGAGAAAGGATGGTGTACTGAGGGGATTTCCATGGATGTGTATAGACTGCTGGATGTAAACTGATCTGTAGACCTCTACCTAATTCACAGTAAAAAGTAGGGGAGAGAGCTTAGTTCCATAACAAAGATTTTTGTAAAAGGAAACGTCATTCTGAATAGTTCTGTCTTTTAAATTCTTAACTTTAACTCACAATAGCTTGATTTTAAATAGTAAATTATATTATCTTCTATGAGGCATTACATATTGCTGGTTTTTACGATGAAGAATTCTGAAGTTAAATATTTGATAGTAAGATGTTAGCATTTGCTAAGTGAATGACTTTTCTATTTGCAGAAGAGTACACGAGATTAATCAGTGAAACCAAGATAGGCATCTATCACTCCTAAACTTAAAAAAAACAAAAATAAACCCACTAGTGGTTGTAGAACCACACAGATATGCCCAGGTTACCCAAAGTTCTAAGACAGCATAAATCCATTCTGGAGGGAAGGTTTCTGAGACCACAAAGCCACTCATAATCTAGAGTGAGCAATCATGAATCCAGCCCAGGCCTGATTAAAGCCTCTAACAGCAGTGACTTGAGGGGAGAAAGCAGAGAGTTGCTCCCTGTACCCAGGCCTGGTTCTGGAGCAGTGCAGTGGGAGAATGGGTTCACCTGGGACATCTCCAGGCTGGACAGTTAGAAATCTGCAGCGGAAGCTCCCCACCTGGCCAGCTCTGTGGCCCCTGGCAGAGGACCACCTGCAAATGGCAGATAGTGGTCCTGCATGATACCTTTGGTTCCCACTAATTTTATGACTGGCAGATCAAAGAGACCAGGCTGGGAACACTATGGGGATTGCTATAGTGACAAATGCGTTGCGCATAAAGCTTATCTCCTAAAGACGGGCAAGGCTTTGCTGAGTGGGGTGAAGAACCCAAACCCAGAGTTGTAAATTGAGGTTATGGAGCTGAGCACTAGCCTCTGAGGTGCCAGGTCTTCTGGCCAGTTGGCATCTGCATGGACCCCACTCCTTTTCTACCCCAAATGGGTACTTCTCAGACGCTTCTCCCTCACTGTACACAGCTGTGAACAAAACCTGTGACTAGCTAGCCAAGGGAGAAGAGGTGCTATGGGTCGAGAGAGAGCCCCCTCCCATGCACTGCAGGTCACAGGCACGAGGAGGCTACTCAGGGTAAGTGCTAACTTCATGGAGGTCCCTGCTTCTGCAACTTTCAGTGCTCCCTCTGACCCCCAAGCTCCAGCTCCAGACCACAGGCTGACAATGCATAACTCAGCACCAGGGCGGGGCGGAGGACAGAAGTCGGCAGGAGACATGCCCGTGGGGTTCCCTTTCAGTCTCCTGAGAAAAAAGCCTTCTGCTGGGACCAGTGCAGGGCTAGGCTGGCAGCTATGATGGCTCCACCACTGATGGCTCCCTAAATTCCAATCCATGCTTATGTTGGTGCAGATCTGCTCAGTGCTTGGCACTGGGTGAGAGGTGGGCACCCGGTGGCAAGAATGTCTGTCTTCCAGCAGCCCTGAGACTCAGCCAGCCACACACTACAAGCCCATCCAGCTGAAGGTACTCAAACCAGAGATGCCACGACAGGCGGAGGCCCTGTGGAAGTCCTTCAGGAGAAAGCCTAAATTCACAGGAGGCTACTCTCATCCTCCATCAATGAGGGGTGGGACTCCAATGGCCCAGGATGGGCTCCTGAATGGAGGAGCCAGCAGGGCTGGCAGGGGAGGGGAGGGGAGGGGGGGGAAGGGGAAGGGGAGGGGAAGATAAGGAACGCTTTAGGTGGCTGCCAAGTACTAATCTTATGGTTAGCAGCTGAGTACTTATCCTTTGTACCACCAGGGCTCCTCTGACAGATAATTATTGGTCCTTAATCTTTATTTTTTCCATTGTTTACTATGTAGTACTATTTTCCGTCCCGCTCCCTTCTTTCATCTCGCTCCCCTCCCCTAGCTTCAATTTTCTGGTTTCTCTCTTTAAAATAGTGGTCAAATAAATAAATAAACAAGCAAGCAAATAAAATTTTAAAATGGTAGTCCCAGTCCTTTATCTTTACTTCAGGGAATTCCCAGGACATGCACTTATCATAACCATCATTTCTGGCTTTATGCTAATAGTGAACTACTAAATTTACACTGGATAGCTAACAAATGTCCCCATGGGCAGCGTGCTGTGTTTGCCCAGAAGGGAAGACAGGCATGGGCACTCCCACAGAAATAAAAGTCCTTACCTCCACTTGCGTACTCCATGATTAGGTAGAGAGTTTTTTCGGTCTCAATGACTTCAAATAACTTCACTGAGGGAGGAGAGGGGAGAATGAGATGAGAGACAAACACATGGCATACAGACACTCAACCAGAACAGCAATCTTAGTTGCTGGCCCTCAGAAAATAGCTGGGCGGCATTCTGTCCTAGAGGACACCTATAGGCGGATTCTGGGACCCCCCGGGCCAGGGCGTACAGGCACCCTGGAGTGCTCAGATAGTGCCCTGTGCTGTGCAGAGTGCGCTATTCCTGCCTGCCTGCAACCCCTCATATCCTCTAGGGGCCAAGGGCCTTGGTCGGGTCCTGGGAGCACAGCCTGTTGTTCCTCAGTCAAGCTCTGAGGACACTGACCACCAGTTGCAGGCCTTGGCTCCTGTGACTGTTCGGCATGAGGGAGAAGGGGCCACTCGGCACTTAGCCAAAGAGTTCACTGTGTCAGCAGAATCACTTTTCTTTTTTTTGAATCATTTTATTGGGAGCACTTACAGACATTTTAACAATCCATAGTTCAATTAGATCAAGCAAACTGTACAATTGCTGCCACCATCATTTCCAAAACATTTTCTTTCTTCTTGAACTCTTTGAAAACAGCTCCCTTTTACACCTGCCGCCCCCCGCCACCCCCCCATGCAAAATCACTTTTCAACGGGTCAGTGCAACATGCTACAGTGATCTCTTGTCAAAGGGAGAAAGGTGTTATTTCTATTACTGCTAATTCAGTCTAAGGCATAATGGAAGCAGGTAAGCAGCCAGGCCAGCCTTCCACTTGGATGACAAATATATCCACGTCAGTCTTTTCTGGCTTGGGCTCTTTGCTGGTGCTTAATGATCTATCACCCACGACTAGCGGGTCCCTTTCAACTCCAAGACACCTGGGACAGAGTGGAGCTTCCCCAGGGAGTTTCCAAGGCTGTCACCCTTTTAAGGGAGCTGACAGCCAGATCTTCCTCCCTCAGAACCGAGGGTGGGGGTTTGAACTGTTGACCTTTCAGTCAAGGGAGTATAAGCCAAGCACTTAAAACACTGTGCTTCCAGGGTCCTTCGACCCAGTAGTAGATGAGTAAAATCCCAAGAACATAGGAGTTCATCAAGCAATATGTCTGTTGAACTGCTAGTGAAAAAACGCTCTACATATTATCAAGAAAAACTATTTAAGAGAGCTAGAGCCAATGTGTACTGGGGGGCAACAATAGTAACACTCTTCTGAAGGCCAATGTGACTAGTGGCTCTCTGGGGAGAGATTATCAAAGATATGCCATTTAGTGAAAAAGAGAGAAATCTGAAAATTACTGGAGCACAACTTAGGTGGTTATCCGTTCAAATGGGCTCAGTGGCAATAGTTTTTGATAAATACACCCTATATCAGTGATTCTGAGACATAAGACACTTTCCATTTTAATACCCCTGATTATCAGCAAAACAGTGTCTTAGAATTCTTTGGCAGCGACTTTGTTTTTCAAACCTGTAAACCTGTAGTTGTCACAAGTTGATCCTCACTATGTCTCAAAGCCACTTCATTTGTGTCAGGGTGGAACTGGGCTCTCCAGGGTTCTCAATGGTTGATCACCAGAGCCTTTCTTCTGAGGGGCGTCTGGGTGGGCACTAACCACCAACCTCTGGTCAGGAGTGGAGCTTGGAAACCCTGGTTAGCAGCAGAGCTCTGTGTAAAAGCTTTGCCCCTCCTGTGGTCCTGAAGTCAGAACCATTATCTTCTGTTCTTGAGCCTCAAAATGTTCTGATCATTTCCTACGCAGAACGACCACTTAGTCGCTTCCTATGATGGATTTGAAGGCAAAATGACATACTCGACTGGGCAAAGATATTGAACTAGTAAGGATATTGTCAGTTATCAGGACCTAGACATAGTCAGTAGAAACACCGTCATCTTATTTAACAATAGTTCAGGAGTGAACCCGCCCAGGGGCTATGGGAAAGGTGGGCACTGGCACAGCAGGGTGGGTGCTCAGCAGGAGCTAGTGCCCTTCCCAGTTTGTTTCTCGTGATGCTGCTCATACAGGACGGGCCTCCCACATCATATAGCAGCAGCACAGAGCTGTGCACAGAGCTGTGCACATTCTGTGCACCCAGAATGCTGCCAGACAGCACGTGACCCTGACCACTGGCATTATGAAGCACGTCCAGTATTTTCTTAGGGCCACAGCAAAGTGTCATACCTTTAAAAATCTTAACTTGGGGTCTTACAGTAATTTCTATCAACTAGTTGTACAGAACTTAATTATGTTAGTTTCTTATATTTTTAAGCCATCATCTAATTATAGAGCTGTTGTTACTGCTTTAGCACTTTAAGTTCAAATATTTAATACCCATGTTTGTTTTGTCTTCAGAAATTTCAAAACACTAATAAAATGATCAATATCTTATATACATAGTTTGTGAAACGTGTACCTTTGCTGGGGAGCAAATAATGGGTATAAGAAGGAAGACAATCTAAAATGGATTTTGGTGAGGACTGCATGACTCTTCATATATTTAAACCACTGATTTGTAAGGTATATAAATTATGTCAATATAATTTTTTTAAGTGTACCTAGACTAGAGGGAAGGCAGGAAACCCTTCTTTTCATTCCTAGAATGTATATTTAGCTTTATGATATACTTTTAAGAATGCATTTAAGGTCCCCAAATAAATAAGAAAGCAGAAGGTACCTATGTTTGGATGGTTTAAAATCTTCATTATTCTTACTTCTCTGAAGAGCTAAAAGAAAGCACATACAATTCCCCAATACACGTTATTAAACATCACATTCCACTGTTGCGATAAAATTACATTTCTCTTAGATAACTAATGCATTGCAAATATTTAATAGTCCAAATCTATGGCTGATCTGCAGGACTGGGCTTAACTCTTGAAACAGCATACAGCCCATTATCAGATAGTATTAGCGATGTGCCACTTTATATTGCAAAGAACATCAGAGATACGGCACAATCTCCCTTTGATTCTGCCATCTTGAAAATGGACGATCACATGCAGCCAGGGGCAGGAACTCAGAAGTCCCAGGGAAGGAAGCCAGGTACCCTAGGTTGAGAATTCCAATGCCCTCTTCTTTCAGAAGACCATGAGTAAGCCACGCCTGGGGCCCAGCACTGAAGCAGGTAGGCGATCTAGCAGGTATAGGAAGGGTGCTACCGTGACGACCTCAGGGATCATACCTCCAGCAGGCGTGCTCTGGAGGCATGCTTTCTCACATCAACTGTGTGTCTTGCTGTGGGCAGAGGGACATCAGCAAATGTGAAGCAAGCAGGGGCTGTGTACACTTGCCAGGATGTTGGGGCTCGGTTTCTGGAAAGGGCTCTGGCCACTATGGGAAGAAGCTGAAGGTGGAGGAGGCTTCCCATCTAGAATATGGCTCTTCGCTGAAGGTGGAGGACGTCCCCTCTCCCATCAATGTGCCTGTGGTCATTCCCAGATAACTGCTTATGTTTGGAGAAGATAGAAGACAGCCGCCCACATCCATGACCATCAATCACACCTGAGTTATTGCTCAGCTTCTCTCCGTCCAGCTAGATAATTACATGTAAATTGTTTGTCACTTCAATCTATGTGAATCTCCCAATTATTTCTCCCAGCTATTTCTCTGGCTAAAGCAGAGGAACTGCACATTGGATTCAGTACCAAGACAGCATTTAATCAAGGAGTCCTGGTAGCACTGCTGGGTTAAGTGCTGGACTATACATCTCTGAAGAAAGATGAAGACCAACAGCCTCAGGCTCTCTACACAGGGAGGGTTACTATGAGTTGGGGGCTAGTTGATGGCAGTGGGTATAGCTCATAATCAGGGCTCTCAGCCAGTTTGAGCTGGTTCAGTCACAGCTGACTCAGCAAAATTGGAAAATACCCAAGTGTGTTAACACATGTATGTGCTGGAGCATTAAGTACAATGATACACTTGCAGCCCAAGTCCCGGGATGGGAGACTCCAAGAGAAGGGGGGTCGGGGTGAGGGGTGCCAGGACATATAGACCTGGTAGCTCGCTATGTGAGGCACACACAGTGAGCGGTGTTTCTAGCAGGGCAATGACTTGTAAAATTCCCACTCTGGCCAACATCAGTTTATAAACTCAGGTTCTCATGAATTAATCGGGAAACACCAGTTTGGGGCCCTGTTTAAAATACTGCCCTTACAATGAAGGTCTGGCCTGAAACAGCAGCCCTGCTTACCTTCTGCTCCCCTAGCCTCCTCCCTTCAGCTCTGAGGCACCCTCTGCCCTTTCCTTCCTCTGGCCTCTTCAGCCTTCAGGCAGAGTCCCTGGGAATCATTTCAAAACCAATTTCCTCCTCCACCCAGAATGTTTTTCAAGTTGTAGTAATACATTTTGATTTGTGTACTTATTTACTATATACCAGAAACTAAGCCTGATAGATAATTTGATTGAAGCTTGGGCTAGGCAAAAAATCCTACATTAGAAATCATTCTCATAGAGGAAAGAGCTGGGAGGAAAAGGGCATTTGTAGAGGTCTAGATAAAGACATGTACATATGCAAATATATTTATATGAGGATGGGGAAATAGATCTATGAGCCTATATTTGTAGGTTTAGTATTAAGGTAGCAGAAGGACATTGGGCCTCCACTCAGGTATTCCCTCAACACAAGAATACTTTCTTCTATTAAATTGCCATTCTATGATGCTCACCTTCCCAACACAACCACTGAAGACAAAGCGGGTGAATAAGCAAATGTGGTGAAGAAAGCTGATGGTGCCCGGCTATCAAAAAGTATAGTGTCTGGGGTCTTAAAGGCTTGAAGGTAATCAAGCGGCCATCAAGCTCAGAAGCAACAAAGCCCACATGGAACAACATAATCAGCCTGTGTGATCACGAGGTGTTGAACGGATCACTGAAGACAAATGGGTGCATAGGGAAATGTGGCGAAGAAAGCTGATGGTGCCCGGCTATCAAAAAGTATAGTGTCTGGGGTCTTAAAGGCTTGAAGGTAATCAAGCGGCCATCAAGCTCAGAAGCAACAAAGCCCACATGGAAGCACACCAGCCTACGCATCCACGAGGTGTTGAAGGGATCAGGTATAAGGCATCATCAGAACAAAAAATCTTACCATAGTGAATGATGGGGGGAGTGCGGAGTGGAGACCCAAAGCCCATTTGTAGGCCACTGGAGATCCCCTTTCAGACGGGTCTCCGGAAGGAGACAAGCCAGTCAGGGTGCGATGTAACAATGATGAAAAATACAACTTTCCTCTAGTTCCTAAATGTTTCCCCTCTGCTCCCACTATCATGACATGAATTCTACCTCACAGGTCTGGCTGGACCAGAGGATGTACACTGGTACAGACAGGAAATGGAAATCCAGGGAATCCAGGGCGGATGAGCCCTACAGGACCAGTGGTGTGAGTGGTGATACAGGGAGGGTAGAGGGAGAGTGAGTAAGAAAGAGGGAACCGATTACAAGGAACTATATGTGACCTCCTCCCTGGGGGGCGGACAACAGAAAAGTGGGTGAAGGGAGATGTTGGACAGGGCAAGATATGACAAAATAACAATTTATAAATTATCAAGGGCCCATGAGGGAGGGGGGAGCAGGGAGAGAGGGGAAAAATGAGGACCTAATGTCAGGGGCTTAACTGGAGAGGAAATGTTTTGAGAATGATGAGGGCACTGAATGTACAAATGCACTTCACACAATTGATGTGTGTAGGGATTGTGATAAAAGTTGTAATAAAATGATTTTAAAAAAAGAAATCATTCTCTCATGATGAGGGCAATGAATGTACAAATGTGCTTTACACAAATGATGTATGTATGGATTGTAATAAGAGTCGTATGAGCCCCTAATAAAACGATTTAAAAAATAAATAAATACATAGAAAAAAGAAAAAAAAGAGAGAAGAAATCATTCTCTCTCAGAATTTTAAAGGACTTAGATTATCTTGTAGCTTCTCGTATTGTTAGCAAGTCTGCTATCATTCTGCTACAATCCTGTGACCAGGTCATTATGACCCGATCTTTCATGAATATACACCTTCTCCTCACTACCAACATGGTTAGGTTCTGTAGTAGTTACATACTTTCAACTTGAAGTGGAAGGGTGGAGTCTAGCCTGTTAATCAGGTCACAGCCTGATGATACCTCTTTGTGGGCATGACCTCTTCATAAGGAAGGTCCTGGAACCATCCTCCCCCACCACACACACATCCTCTGCTTCACCTTCCAACTGTTGATCACTCAGACAGTTATAACAGCCACCACCATTGGATCCACACAATCTGCACCCATCAGATTGTGATCTCCCTGCATTCTGCATCACTGCATGTGGCTGTGTGAGTCTGAAGAGGGATTTAAGGACTAGTATCTGACTTATGGACTTGTTCTGGACTGGGGTGGGATGTTTGCTTGATATATACTTACCTCTTTATATAAAGCCCTCTCTATTACACATATATGAGAGTCACTGAATTTCTCTACTCGACTCAGCCTAACACAGGTTCTAAAGACCAGGTTTTTATGGAAAAATTGGCATTATGTGAAAATGGAAGGTAACCACATCATTATATAACTGCCAAATGACATCATTATGTAACTCCCAAATTACACAATCATACAACTGCTAAACCACTGAGAATCACAGCCCAGCAAAGTGGACACATAACCTTAACCACCACAGCCCATGTTCCTCTCACCTTGTACCTCAACTTCTATTATTGTCAGACATGCTCCGTTAATCCAAAAACTAGCCAGAGTAGATATTACTATTTCTCTACATGTGAAATGTGGATAATGAGACAGCTGATAAATAGGGAGTGGGTATTAACTGTCATGGTCATCTTATCCTCTTCCTTTCCTACTCAATCTTTGAAATGATCAATTAATAATATTTTCTTGGGAGGGTAACATCGTTTTCTCCTCTGGCTTTTCTTCCTTGCACCAGCCCCCCACCCGATTTTTCAGTCTCTAGCTATGGTCTTGGCTGTCCTTTCACATTTGAAACAGTGGACTGAATGCTCTACATGTAAGGGATGGACAACAGGATGTCTAGGCAGAGATGATGTCATTTTACTGAAAGATACCCAAATGTTTAAATCTAAAAATGTTTACATAACCAACTTTCACAGAGACAAGCTTTCTAATCGCCTTGTAGAATCACATATGCTGTGTGACTGTATCCTGACACAGAGTCACAGACACCCTCCCTATTGGAAAGGGCAAACTGTCCTTGTAGGTTCCTGAGACGGTCACTCCTACAGCCTTCCTCCTGTAAAGCAATTCTGAGGCAGACACCCGATGAGGGCTTCAGCACTCTGTGGGCTCCCGTGACTAAGATGGCTGCCAAGCCCAGGTGCTCTTTGACCAACATCTTCAGAGATCAAACTTCCTGGTTTTAGGAGCAGAGAAGATGCTACTGTCTGGCTGGCCAGGTGAGGAGGTGACACAGGCCTACCTGGTCCATGTACATATTTTCAACTACGAAACCCCCGCTTTCAGTTCTAGTTGTACTTCCACCCACAAGAGCAAAGTGTCACTCCTAAGCTTTCAGGGGCCTGCAACTTGAGTCAGCAAGGTTCTTGTTGCTACCTGCCCAGCACCCCTGCCTGAATCCCTCTCTCTGGTTGGCTAGGTCATTGACTGCTCATAAGTTTTCCATCCAGGCAATGCTGGGGTGAATTTTTTTGTCTATCGGGCTTGTGTTCTTTGACACTCCCTTTTAAAATTCTGTCATTCTCCTTTTATAAATCTTGAGA